CTCTGACTGCACTCTAAGACTTTGCTCTCTCCAGAGATTGAAGGTATGTAGTTAATAATATTCTTTGGTTTTCTGTAAATGGGACCTTTTTTTTAAAAATTCATTTTAATATATTTTTTTATTTATTTATTTATTTTCAGGGATCGGTAGTAATCAAGGTGGATTTACACTATACTCAAAAGGACAGTAATCTGCGGCGGACTGAGAGCCTGCAGGTGGACATTGGAATGCCTCTGGTGGCATCCTGTAAGCTGTACAGAGAGAACCGTGCAGCAAAAGACAAAAAAACTGAAGGTGCTACCGCTCAAAGCATGAGCAACTTTTCACACAGGAAATCACAACAGCATCAGACTCTGGCGGCTCCACATCGACATTTCACCAGAAAGGCCGAATGCGCTGCTAAAAAAGCAACTACACACTGCAACGAACCTGAAGAGAACGATGAGACTGAGGCGCAAGATTTCCGACCTTATAAGTAAAAGGAAAAGGGACTTAATTATTTATTTCTGTTTGTTTTTACAGCATTTGATTATGCACCTTGTCTTTGATTGATGATAATAGGTGGATTGAGAAGACTGATACTCTGCTTATGTTCTTTTTCATTAAAAAAAGTAAATGAAAAAATACGTAAACATTGTGAAGAATTAAAACTGCGGTATACTTTTAATGTTTTTTTTATGTGAATAACACTTTTCAGTGGCAAGCTGGCTGGCCTATTGAAGACATTACTTTAATAATTTATCTAATCAACAGAACTACTTTCTTCTCTGTATTGTCAAGCTTTCAAACATATGTGATATAAAGCTTTGTTTAAAAATAAATCCAAATGGTGCAATTTTTGTTTAGTATTAAGATTCTTCATTTAATTTGGTAGTTAATGGCTCTAAGCATTTAAATAATAGAGGAAGTCTAAACCAAGTTTCTCCTTCAGAATAGCAGCACAAAAGCACAATGCTAATATTTTTACAAATGTAAAATATTTGACAATTTTTTTCAACAGAAAAATTGGTATGCTTCGCTTTATTCTGTGGAAGGCCCATTTTATGCATGGAGTCATTGTGATATATAGTTATAAATTAAAATTTCACCACACATTGTACCTTAAGCTTAAATTTCAACACAATCAAACCATATAATAATATTTTTTTCTATGATTTTAATGATCTGAAAAAAGTGTGATGGGTATTTGTTGTCCTTCCCCATTCCCTGTGTCGTTTTAAATAAGATCTGGTTATTACAGTATATTAGAAAATTCTCCATCTGGATATGATTTAAATATGAGATACATTCAGCTGCACTATTTTTTTAACAGGTTTGATAAGAGGTATTACTGAATAAACTTTATAAAGAAGAAGGTAAACTCCAGACAGGTCAGGCATTAAATGGGGAAGTTTAATACAGAGAATTGTGATGTTCAATTACTCATCTAAACAAAATGTAGAGAGTTATTGTAACTCTGGAGGAGCTGTAGAGTTTAGCAGCTCGGGTGAGAAACTCACAGCTGTTGTGAACTATTGTTATGCATTTCAGAGATGCACAAATGGAGCATGGTGTTGGCAACATTATGCTGAGGGTTTATTTTTCCTTAACAGTGACAGTGGTTCTGCTTAAAGTTGTTGAAATGATGGATGAAGCTAAATGGAGAGTGATGTTGTTCTGAGACTGGAAAAGACCTGAGTGTGAGGTGGAGTTCACTGTCAAGCAGTTAAACGGGTTTATGTACCGGTAAGTGTATTAGAAAGCGATACTATTCATTATTGGTAGAACACAGTAACTTAAAGTTAGAATTTCAGCGTAGTGTATAATTTTAGCTTTTCTAGCTGGGCGTCATAAACACAAGCGAGACATGTTTGTGTTTTTTGAAATAAATTGTCAGCAAAAAGTACTATTACTGCATTTAAGATAGAGTGTAACTGCAAGAGTGTAAACAGTTTCTCAAATTAGATAAAATTGTCCCTTTCAGCCAAAAACTAGTCCAAGCAGGCTAAAATTATTTGGTAAATTACAACAGTTGCTTCACACTAGTTTTATTGCATTGCAAAGCAAGTCAAGAGAAAGGTCTTACAAATGAACTTGCATTACAGAATGTTTTATGAATAACTTGTCTCTCTAAATTATAGTATGTTTCATCACCTGGTAATGCACATCTGTGTATGAACATCTGTATATACACAGTCAAAACACAAGACCTCAATGGCTAAACACATTTAAAGTCCTCCAGATCTCATTATGCTGCAGTGGGTTTTACAGTGAAATTCTACATGTAGACAAATGAGAAGTATTGCTCAATACACTGGAAAGATATAATACAAAAATGTCTTAAGCATAGAAATATTGGTGGTTTAATTCAATTAAATTCAGATTATTTATATAATTCATAACACCTGTCATCTCAAGGCACTTTACAGTTCCCCAGTTCATACAGTCAAATTGATTCAAAGTTTTCTATCTAAGGAAAACCAGTTGATTGAATCGACTCATTGACTCCAATGCAAACCCTCACACTAAGCATGCTTGTAGCGACAGTGGAGAGGAAAAACTCCCCTTTAACAAGAAAAAACCTCCAGCAGAACCAGGCTCAGTGTGAGCAGCCATTTGCCGAGGCCGACTGGGGTTCAAGGAGACAGAAGCAGAGATACAAAAAGCAGCTGTAAAAGGCGGCACCATCCAGGAAATGAACGATGAAACAGGGATCCCTGTGTCTTCCAGAAGTCTAAGCCTATAGCAGCATAACTATAGAGATAGCTTAGGATAACCTGAGCCACTCTAACTATAAGCTTTATCAAAAAGAAAAGTTTTAAGCCTACCCTTGAAAATAGTTTAAAGGTACAGGAAACAAATCCCAGTAATTAACCTTAAGTGTACCATTAACAAGTAAAACAATTGTATTTCTCTGGATAATACCTGTAACATGTAATGTTATATAAACTACATGTACCTGTACTAAACCAGTACACTGATTCACTCAAGAAGAAAGTTAAAAACCATTGTGCCAGTCAATTAGCCTGTTAGTAAATGTAATATTAGTACTTATAACAGGACACAAGATGAGAATCAAAGCAAGGTCCAGGATCTCTGCTATATTTAAAAAACATCAAGTTAAAATATAATTTTTCTAAAGAAAAAAACATATTAGTAAATATTACTTAAAAAATTTAGATGCTTAGAGAACAACAGACTGCAATGTGATATATTTTATTCATATATTTGGCACAGTTAAAAAAATAATGCAACAACTTCCGGCATTTTGCTAATCATACGGTATTTAGAAACTTCAACACAATTGTTATAAGTCCTACCCTACTAACATATGCAATTGTGTTAAAGTAACTAAATATGAATCGGTGCACACACAGAGGAAAATGGGGTAGTTTTGTATGTTGGAAAATACATCATAAAAATGTAAAGCACTTTTAAAATAATGTGAAAAAAAAAAGTTTGCGTTTTTCTCAACTGTGGAACTGACATCAAATGGAAAGCCGTCAAAGTAAATACAAAGTAAATAAAAGAAAACAGGAAAGTATATTACAATGAAATAATCCTTTTTTTCTTGAACACCTATAAACAAAGGTGTTTATGGCAGCAGCACAGTTGAATGTGTCACTCCAAACAGGAACAGACAATGTAAAGCTATTATGAGAAAAAGCAGAGAGAGCATAATGTTAGAGATTGAACTAAGAGGATGATGAAACAGGGGTCTCTATGTCCTCCAGAAGTCTAAGCCTATAGCAGCATGACTATAGAGATAGCTCAGGATATCCTGAGCCACTCTAACTATAAGCTTTATCAAAAAGAAAAGTTTTAAGCCTACCCTTAAAAATAGTTTAAAGGTACAGGAAATAAATCATAGTAATTAACAAAGAAAACAGGAAAGACAATGAAACAATGAAAGAATCCTTTTTATTTTATTTTTTTTTTAATTAATGATCAAACAGATAAATAGGCACCTTAACCCCGGAATTACAGGCCCAATGTTAGGTCCCTGACAGCTTGCACGTATACTTTGACCACATTTAACCACAATTCAACCTATCGCAGTACAGAATCGTGAGTTGTTTGTTCTTGTAGAAAAAGATTGCCACCCCTGCACCAGCCCTGGCTAGCTCGCCGTGATCGTATAGTGGTTAGTACTCTGCGTTGTGGCCGCAGCAACCCCGGTTCGAATCCGGGTCACGGCATTTTGATGACGCTCAACGTTACCTACGGAAAAAAATATTTTATTTCTAAACTTCTCCTGATTCATTACAAATATGTTGCTCTTGCTTTAGGGAAACATTTTGGCATTTGGAAGCGTCACACTTTTAGTATAACCCACAACTAGAAAATATTAAGGGGTACTTACATGTAAAAAAATAAATAAATAAATAAACAGCTTAATCAACAAGATTTATTAGCCTTAATAGCCTTATCACATATTGTAGTCCCACGATTATATTTATTTGACTCTAAACAATAATAACAATGCTGAACGGACTCTTGTGTGTGCTGCTGGTCTAAGTCAATGTCTAGATATGACCAGCAGATGGCGCACTAATCCACCTGATCTCAGTGACACAGAAAGATGAGTTACTCATCTATTGCCAACCCAATGATTTATTGACAATAACAAAAAAAAAAAGGTTTAGATGTTCTTTAGTATGCAAATAATTGTAACACACGTATGTTTAAATATTTAATCATATAATTGTAGATTTAGTTTTATGTTGTTCCAATCCAGAAGAGTCTCGATTCTCTTAAGTTATTTAATCTGGGTGAAATTAACATTCTGCTGTAATGGATTCTGAATAAAAGATCGAGTTATCTAATTTATTATTCTAACCTATATCGTGAGGATAGCTATGTCAGAGAAAGCTGCAGCGTTTGAGAAAAGGCAATGTTGGAAATAATCCTAAATCCTCAAATATAACGCTTTGCTCCGGTTGGCTCATTTGGACGTCAGTCTTATTTGGGACCCGCCCACCCGCCGAAGTGGCAGTGGTGAATGGTGAGAGGTAATCCTTTGCAAAAAAACCACAGACGCGCACCATCGCTGGATCTGGATGCGGGCATCCTTTGGATTTTGCGCGTAACGACACGGACCTTCATCGCCTGCCTGACTTAACCGGGAGCGCAATGGTGGCTGAATGCGCGGCTGCTGGTGGTTTAGGGGACCGAGGAGCGTGCTCCGTTTGACATTCACTTACACGCTGGTGTGGAGTTTTTTTATTTTTATTGTTCTGGTCCCGTAGACGCAGAAGCGCAGCAGTGATTCTGTGTTGAAGATGTTGAGCCGATTCATGAGTGGCAGCCTCAGGAATCTGGAGCGGGAATACAGCTGCACAGTCAGACTGCTGGACGACACGGAATATACGTGCACCATTCAGGTTAGTCACCTGTCGACAGCTCCGCAGAGAACCGAGAGGTGCTGCAATTGTGTTTGGGATGTGCGCCTGAATGCCACAATGCTGCTATCAACCTCCCCACCAAATCATCCAATAGTATCTACGCATTGAAGAAGAACGCATAACCTTAACTGCCTTTCTGCCCATTATTCCATGCAAAATAGTTAAAACTTGGATTAAATGCAGCCTATATAGACATGATTTTATCAGAGTTGATGCAATATTTTCTATGATATCAGATTTGGATTTTTTTTTCTGCACTATAACGCTCTGATATTAGTTTTAGGATCACTGTCCTCTGGCCCACTATTAAGTTTTAGCAGACTTATTTCTTTTATCTCCATCAATCATCCCATCAATCCTGAATTTCTCTGTAATTGCTCAAGAAAAGCATGACCACAGCATGATGCTGCCACTTCCATGTAGAAACTAGATTTTTCTGGTACCAGAAAGTTCAGTTTTAATATTTGGTGATCATTTTTACAGTGTCCTCTCATGAATTTAGATTAAGACCCCTTAAAACCTGTTTGATTCACTTACTTACAACTAATAAGGATTTTGCCCATGTATATCTATTTCTTTGCTACAGATTTGATGGCGTAGCTTAATCGCCATGACCGTTGTTGGGATACCATTCACTTTTTTTTAAAACATAAAATACAGAGAAGCAATTCTAAAAAAATACCTCTTAAGTTGCATATTATTACATAATCATCCGATCAATGTGATTTGGTGCAAATTAAAATAGTTTTTGAGATCTAGGTGTTTATTATTATGATTTTTTTTATAAGACCAAGTAAAAAAAAAAGAATTTTGATAGAGGGGATACACTGCTTTGAAACCTTAAACAAGCTTGCGCTCTAACAAAAGGCTTCTTTGTCTCTGACAGCTTTGCTTTGATAATTATGCAGGTTTATATTCCTGCTGATAAGACAAAAAAAAAGGTGAGAGGGCCTGTCACTTCAATTTCCCAGGAAAGCAAATCCTCCTTAGCTGTAAAAAAAGAGAAGTCCTTAGAGACACTACACAACACAAAAAAGATCCTTGGTTTATATGAAACTTTGTCATAAAAAGGAGTCTTGCTACTGCAGCATTTGGTTTCAACAGGTTATATGGTAAAAGTCCCCTTTTTTCCCTTTAAGCAAGAGTGAAATGAACACCATATTCCCTCTAGTGATTGTAAGTGAGCACCCAGGTTGTAAACAGACCTGTATTTGTGCTTAGAGAGCTGAGCAAGTGATGGAGCTGGGCCAGATGGACTGTGAAACCAGCAGGTGTGCTGTTTGCAGCAGAGTCGGGTGGCTGACGTCACCGGAGTCGATGGATGGGGAGCGGGGTTGAAACTGGAGAATGCTCCAGCTCTGCTGTGACTGTCTGGCATCTTGATTTTCTTTCCGCCAAAACCCTGTCCTGTAAGGGAGCAAGATAATCCACCTGACCTGCCGCATTATATCACTAATGTGTGTCACATATTTAGTCTCTTCCCTCTAGGTTTTATAGCCTGCCAGGGGAGGTGGTAAAAGAAAAATATAACACTGTATATCAGGACACTGAGAAGGGAATGCAAAGTAAGAGGCGGGTCTTATTTTCTCACAGACACACTTTATTCTCTCTCTATGTGTGCGCTCGTCTCCTTCTGTCCTACTTTTGTATTTGTCCTTTTCTGTTTTCAGTGTGGAATGAACTTATATTCAATACACATGATTCCATCAAACTTTGACAATTAATCTGGATTATTTTAAAAACTCTACTCTCAGATTATCACCTGGCTTAGCTAGTTACCTTATCATTATCTTGCATTGACGTTTTTTTATTTGTGTAACTTCCATATTTGTCTCTCTGTCTATGTTGCAGCCAACTTCAGGATAATTTGTAAATTTAGACTAAGCAGGGCACAGAAGGCTTTTACCACTTGGACAGTAAAGTCGTCCATCTTTTTAGAGCACTCTCTGCTGTGATGCATGAACCGAAGTTTTACCCTAATAAATTATGGAGATTTCCTGCTAAGGGCAGGAGAAGTGAGCACTTATAATTACTTAGCCCAGTAGATGTAGATCTCATCCAAGCTGCATGTTGGATAGAGAGCCACAGCCCTCCTTTGCTTTGGGACTTCACTGCTCTACTTCAGATTTAGTGTTTCATGTTATGGAAATACCCTGGTGATACAAATTGCATCACCAGGGTATATCATACAAAAAAAATGCATGTTTTTAAGAAAAAGACCAATGTTTTACAATCTCCCAATGATGGAAACATATTCGCCCTGCGCAGACTGGCGACCTGTACAGGGTGTACCCCTTCTCTTGCCCATAGACTGCCGGAGATAGGCACCGGTCCCGCCGCAACCCTGAAAAGGTCTAAGTGAGAGAAGATGGATGGATGGATGGATGGATGGATGGATGGATTGATGGATGGATGG